TATTGTAATATATCTATATCACTAAAGCACTTCTGGATGGATGCAAACTGCATTCCGTTGCCCTGTACCTGTGCATGTGCAATGACAATAAAGTTGAATTCTATTCTATTCTATTCTCATCGGGCTTAAGCCGCTTGGAAAACTAACCCTGAGATATGTTTTTGTGAATCTCTATCCAAATTTAAGACTGTTTGGTAAAGGCATCAGCTCAGTGCTGAAACATTTCTGACAAAGATATAAAAAAATTAGGAATTCAGGATGGAAACACTTTTTCATACAACTGTGTTGATTACATGCTTTTGGAAACCGTAAACAAGCTCCTGATATAAATCTGATGAGATATTTGACCACTCTTCTTGGTGGTAGTTTAGGTAATTTTAATTAGCTGGCTTCCTGGCACAGAACTGTCAACAGCTTTTCAATCTGTTGGGGCTGTGGGAAGGAACTTTGTCTCAATATGTCACAACTTTGCTAAGATCTGAATGATGACTCAAAATGTCAGAGGATATTAGTTAGGATGTTCAGTTTAAGAAAACCCCACAACCACCAAGGTTCAAGCCTGTCATGAACAGGAAACTGCTGGAACACAAAGCTCCATTGTCTACAGTGAACTACAATTTCACATTTAGTTTAAAATACACACTTTCATGCTTGACTAAAATTTGCAGCTGGGCACATGAACAAAAAACTCCTGGAAAAATGATTATGGTCAGACAAAATAAAGATTGAGCTATTAGGCCATAAAGATAAGTGATGTGTTTAGAAAAGCAGTGGTGAGACTTAAATCTAAGAACACTGTGCCAACTGACAAGCAGGGTGGTAATAAAATTATGCTCTGGGGCTGTTTTGCAACCGGAGGTAATGGTTGAAAAACGTCAATTCAGAGCTATAATTGAATTGAATATTGAGACTGACATGTTGAGCTCCAGAGGAATTTGCAAACATTTTTACACATCATAACTAACATAAGTCAGGGTAATATTTTTCTGGGCCAAGGGACTCTGAACAGAATGTCCCAGGCTTAGGTTATAAGTAGAAAACAACAGGCTAGGAATTGCTAGATAATATTAATACAGCAAGGTTAGGGAGGGAGGTGTTTTTTTCAGGAAAGGAGCAGGAAATGCAAGATGAGATCAGATGTGGATGCAGTGCAGAAGTTCCACTTGGAAGAAAGCAGGACTGGCCACATCATTTCCCATAAGAGGATAGTCATAATAATAATACTTGTTTTTGTTGTGATATAAAACCACTTACAGGATATTACCCGCTTAAGGGGTCCTTTTCGTATAGCAGACCGCTGGTTCACATCGAGGTGCAGTGCCGTAACTTGTAATTTCAACTTCTAAAATGAATTAAATATTTTAAAAGGTCGTTAGGGGCGCCCATTTAGCTCAGTGGAATGAGAACCATATCGCATGGCTGTGTCTTTCCTTAAAGACAGACTGGCGACCTGTCCAGGGTGTACCCCGCCTCTCGCCCTATGACAGCTGGGATAGGCTCCAGCGTCCCCCGCAACCCTGAAAAGGAGAAGCGGAAGCGAATGGATGGATGGATGGATGGATGGATGGATGGATGGATGGATGGACAGTTTGTCTGTTTGTATCTGAAAATCCCAGAGGATCTTTGATCGGCCATTCTCAACCACCGTAGGGCACATATTCTGTATACTATGCTGACCACTTTGTTATAGAGTTCCATGTATTCCCTGCCTGGAAACATTTTACACC